CGAGACCAACGTCGGCATTAACTACGCTCGTCTTGGCGTCAACCGAGAACAAGTTGTAACTGATCGGGCCCCCTCTATCACTGAACCGAGGCATAGGGAAGTTCATCTAGACTCTTCCCACTTCCAAATTGAGGCTGTTGCTCTGTATCAGAGGCAGAAGCCTTGGTGGAAGAAGAGAGATCCCTGGTTTCAGCTACTGGACGAAGAAGCTGAAGCTGCCCGTACAGCCGAAGAGGTTGCACGGGTCATTGAAGCTTGTGAAGGAGGAGAAGGGTCCTCCAGGGCTGCTGAAGAGGAAGCTGCAACAGCTGAAGAAGACGAGGCTTTGCTGAAGACCTCGGTGAGCTTTCAGACTTAACTTTGTCTTCTTTTTTTTTTTTTTTTTTTTTTGTACTCACATTCTTCCTCCCCCCTGTCTTTTACAGTCTGAAGAGAGTAACAGACACAGAGAAGGGAAAGCCCCTGTTCGTCCCGAAGACCAGATACAAGAAGAGTCTTCAGACTCAGACATGGACGAGCAGCCGCTTCAGAAAAGGCGCCGAAGAATGGCCATCATCGGCCCGCATGACGTTCAGCGTAGGCTGATGACCATCGGCGTTGAAATAAGGGAACCCGAGGAAGGCAATGGATCGCCGAAGGTTCCCCGGCCACAACCTCAATCACCTCAAAAGACCCCTCCGCCACCTCCTGAGATGGAGGTGGATCAGAAAACTCCCGAATCTAAGGGAGGGGTCCAAGAAGAAGTTCAGGAGAGTGCTGCTGAGCACAATAATAAGGATGCCGTGATGCCCAGTGCTGAGGGTTTCACGGCAGACATTGCAAAAGAGGTTGAGGCTTTCGTCCTCACCCCTGAAGAAGAAGAGGTCATAATAATTGACTCTTCTGAGAAGGAGGATGCTGAGCCATCCAAAGTTAAAGAGGCTCCGTCATCATCCTTTCCTTCCTTCTAGACTCTGCAATCTGGAGAAATGGGTTTCTCGGCCCCCCGAATTCCAATCCCATATCTCATCTGGGGCCTCATATGGGGTCAGAACCGAGAAGGTGCTGCAGCCTACTTCGGCGATTTTGCTGGCACGTCCGAAGTAGATAGGGCAAGAATCTGGTCGCTGAAGGCCACTGCTGGGATGGGCGAATCCAGCAGATCAGTTCCTGACCCAGCCAGGTCTAACCAGCATCCACGCCCAACATGGTATACTGCGCCAGCCAGCACTAGCAGCTTGCTACGCATGTTGCGCATGCTAGCTTGCTGGCTGGTGCCTGGCAGCGTCTGGCAGGCTGGCTGGGGCTTGCTGCCTCACTGCCCAGCAGCACGCACAAGCAATTCCAGCAGCCTTGCCATGCACCAAGCACTACGACATCACACCTCTCCCACTGCCACACTGCCACGCACCAATGATGCACAACCATATGCGCACCACAGGCAGCCTACATGTGGGCTGCTAGGCAGCCCGGCTAGCCTTGGTGACGCTTGCGGTTTTGCATCGTTTTGCGTGCGTTTTACTCGGAATTTTAATTCCGATTTTTGTGTGACAATAATCAATTCTAAATTACATTTTAGAATTAATATTGAGGGAAAATAAAATAAAATTAAGTCTAACTTAAACAAATTTATTTTATTTGGTGCACAAGCCTAAATTTATCCAAAATTTCAATTTTGAACAAAAATAGGTTAAACTTTATGCTTAAAATAAAATGAGCTATTGTCCAAAATTAATCTTGCCAATATGCAAATTAATAATGGATTTGACAAAAGGGAGTTGGAAAAATAAATTAACCATCCAATGATAAAAAAATTTCCAACTTGCATACTTGTGTAAAATACCAAGATTACATCTTCCAATATGAAGATTAATCAAATTTTTACTCACAAGTAATTGAACTTAATGGATTTAATCAACCAAAACATGAAAAAAAATCCAAACTTTGTTCAACATGGAATTTAGGGTTAGAGTTCCAATCATTTAAACATTTAAAGATTAGAACTTTAACATTACTTGGGAACTTCAAATACAAAATCACAACAAGTTTTCACACCTTATTGCAATTTATTTGCAAAATTTGTGAAAAACAAGTTTATGTGATAAATTGGTATATCAACTTAAGCACTAATAAACATTCCATTATTATGCTCAAGGATATTTTAAAACCAGTAGATTAGTGATGCAAATGTGCATTTAATCTAACCTTGTAATGCTTGCATTAATCAAGGCTTAAAAAGAATTAAAATTTTCGTTGAAAAACGAAAAACCCCAGAAAAATTGGGTTTCTGGTTCGAATTTGGTTTCTGGATAACCCTAAAAGAATTGAAACAGTTCCAAAATGTCGATTCCACCCAAAAATCACTATTTTTGAGCCAAAATCTGGGTTCGACAGCCAAATCGAAAATAAAATCGAGTTTTAAAAGATAGTTAAAACGAGCATCTAATCTAATTAGATGAACATGAACTAGAAAATTAAATTCTTTAAAACACCTTAATTAAACAATAATTGCAAAAGTTAAAAGGAGCGTGGCTCCGATACCGCTGTAGGGTTTCGTAGTGACCTGACACTACGTGGAAGGAAACCCACCAAGACCCGCCCCTTAATTAAAGCAATTAAGCAAGCATAATAAACTTAATCAAACAAGATTAAGAACAAGAATTATACCTTTGACGCGTGCTTCGCTCCTAAAGAGCTCTTACTTAAAAATCCCGAAAAGACGAGATCTCCGACGGATCGTACCCTCGACCCGACCCGAGCGTCCCAAGTCTTGAAGGTTAGTCAAGAACCGGACAAAATTAACTATGAGTTTTACGAATCAAAGGTTTACTCTTTTCTAGAGTTGCCTTTTTAATTCCACTCAAGGTTATTCCAAATCCCAATACCAAGCTTGGTATTTATAGGGAAATGATCCCTTGATTTTCATTCCCCAACCAATGTGGGAAAATGAATATTTTGCTAATTAATTTATTTCTAAAATAAATTAATAAACAAAACTAATCACAATGCAACAAGTGTCAAATAGAGAGAGAAGGTTAGGTGAGGACCATGAATGGGTGGGGGGACCATAGCCTTGCTCCTCAAGGCCTTGCCCAAGCTTGGTCCCCACCCCTCACCAAAACCGGCACCTCATGGACAGCTGGGCTGGCAGCCTACCTTGGCTGCCAAGGCTGCCAGCTGGCGCCTAGCACCAAGGCTGGGCAGCCAGCCATCACGCACTGGCCTAGCATGCATCAGCCCTAGCACGCTCCGAGCTGCTGGGCGCTGGCGCTGCTAGCCTAGTGCTGCTGCCTATCACTCCCTCGCACACACTCTCGCACATGGCCTCTCGCACAGCCAGCCAGCTAGGCCAGCATGCGCACACCCCAGCCAGCGCACTATGCACGCAAGGCCTAGCATGCGTGCTGCTAGCGAGCCACGCATGCTGGGCTTGGTGCACCTTGCTAGCCTGTTGTGCTTGGTGCTGCCATGCGAAGGCACGCACGCAAGCACATAGCTAGGTGCCTCATTGCGAGGCTGCTGGGCGACGGTGCACACGCACACGCACACACGCATGTGCCTAGCACTGCGATGGTGCTGTGCGTGATGCTAGGGTGTTGCGAGACCGCCTATGCACACGCACGCACACGAGGGTGATGTGCTTGGTGCGATAGGGTTGCGTTGGTGCGAGGCATGTACGCACAGGCCCATACGCCAGTGCCTAGCACTGCGATGGCCCGTGCTTGGTGCGACAGGCCAGCGATAGCGCCCATGAGCACCCAGGCACCCAGTTGTAATATCAATTGTACCTTGATATTACTGATCGGAAGCGGCCTCCACCTAGGCATTTCGATCACTTGACCTTACTGAAGAATTAGCTCTGTAATAATTCTGAACCCTCTATCGGAAGAATACACTTGTTGGAAGGACACCATTCCTTTCATAAAATATGTAAATAACGTAAAGTGAAAGAGATTGCGCACCAAAACTCTTGGAACGTATATATCTCGAGTATGAACACATGGGGGAGTTATGTGACTTTATATTTGATCATAACTTCTGCTGGAAGTACAGGACGTTGTATTTTCCTTTTTATTTTATGCGCAGGACGTCCGTCACTCGTAAGTGACATTTTTGCCTACCCGGTTAGCTTCCGGTGTAGTTTACCTCAATTTATTTAGGGCAGGGATTTGGTGGGAAACCCGTTCGATGCGTAATCAAATTAAATAAGTAATTTAATTATCTATTGATTGTGTTGTATGTTTTATGCTTGTAAATAGGTGCAACAAGGTAAGTTGTGTGATGCTAGGATGTAAGCATGGTTAGTGTGATTCGTTTACGCTTATGTACCCAGCATTGCTAATTGTGTGTTGTATGTTTGTTTGACCTTGTCTTTATGTTGGCCGTACGACGACCTATTTTTAATGGCGAATAGTGGTGACAAACTAAAGAGAAGTTTTTTAGGTGATGAAGCATATTCATGATGGGCATGAGTCAAAAGAGATTCTTGTTTAGTTTCTATGAAATATGATATGTTTTATTTGCTTTAATTATTATATATTTGCTTGTGTAACTAACGCAATGAATTTTAAATATTTGGTTTTGGGTTGAAAAGGGCCTACAATGGTTCCAAGTTGTATGTTGACTTCGTTTGACATTGGTTTATTTTACTTTCATTTGGTTGACTTTTGAAGTTAGTTTTGTTATGAATGGTTTTTAAATAAGTCTTCCGCTGTGTGTCTTTGATAATTGCACTAACCGTTATCACGGTGGTAGTAATGTCTTAGAATTTCCTATTTCGTAATTTAAAAAGATCAAAACAGGTATTTTAAAAGGAAGGGATTTATAGGCTATTACATTGCACATCGGTTTGCACCTAAATAAACTCCATTGGAGTATTGTTAGGTCCATGGACTTAACCTAGTCAACCACTCAATTGCCAGCCCAAATTCACTAATCACTATGGGTCTGGTCTGACCCGCTTAATCGTTTACCCGTGTCATTTATTGATTTTTATTTAATCCAAACATTTCAATCAAACTCAAAAAATACTCATATTATATCGCGGGAACCCCAATTCTCTCCCTCACTTTCAAAAACTCAACCTCCATTGTCATCGCCATTTTCAACTGAACACCAAACTCTTTCTCTCTCTTCTTTCTCTCTCTAAGATTAGAATCCGATTGCAATGTCGGCGGCGAAAGTGAGCGGAAAGAAGCGAACAGAAGCTGAAGCTCAGCAGTCCGATAAACGTAAGCGAGACTTTCAGGAAGATGACGACATTTTCGACAACGAGCTTTCCAGGTCTCATGCTTCTTCAAATTTGTTGTTTTAGTCGCTTAATTTTGATATTATTTCTCAAAATTTGTGGTTGATTTTGGAAACTTCGGCTTAATTTTCAGCGAGATCAAAGGAATTTTCTCAGCGCTGCAGCAAATCAGAGAAAAAGCTGCAAAAGACGGTCAGAAGAAGAAGGAAGAAACGATTTCTAGGTTTGATTTGTTTTTCTGCTTCAACTGCTAAATTTCTGAAGTGAAATTTTGTTATCTGGAATTTTCGAGTTGTTGCCTTCATTTCAGTTTTAATCGCACTTATAATGTTTGATTGATGAATGAATTGAAATTATAGTTTCTAAATTTGAAGATGAATTTTTCTATCAAGTTGTTTAATGTTAACATGTACAAACTTTGCAGTGGATTATATATGCCTTGAATTTACTGATTTTAATTAACTTAAATTCTACAACTATGCGTCGGATTTTGTTGAGAAAATTTGACAATGTCTGATTTATATTTGTTATAAACGGAACTGCGGGAACAAAAACAGTAAGAACAAAGTTACCGAAAAATAGACTGAGTCGTGGACTATGTCGTTTTCTTTAGAACATTCACGGCACTGCCCAAAAAGAAAAGAAACTGCTCGAGGGTTTCGTGTATTGAAATTATACCGGTGGAACTGCACAAACCACCGGGCAACTAAACACCCAAAAAGAAAAGAAACTGGTCGAGGGTTTTGTGTTTTGTGAGGAAAAAAAGAGAGGAAAAATTGCAACGTAACTGCTGCTGTTTAATTAGGCACTAATCACGCAATTAAAACGGTCATAAGTTGAACGTTCAAAACGGTTACAGAAGATTAATGCGTGGCAAAACGTTAGCAAAAAATCAGTGAAAACGTTTGCATGATTAACAAGGCGCAATTAGCCTTGTCCAAAAATTAAGTTTATTTAATAAACCCGACCCGGCTCGGCTCGGCGCGCGTGTGATAGATGGTTTACCATATAGGTCCTCCCTCTCCACAAAATGTGGGTAGCCCAAGGGCCACACCCCTTTAGCCCACTCTCTATATTATAAAGAGAATAAAACTCTCATTTCCCACCAATGTGGGACTTTGAGTTTTTCACAAAATTCACACACTACACACTTGTTGTTCCAACAATATTTTTTTGTGAAATTACTCATATAGTTTGATGAGAATAGTAAATTGACTTTGAGCTACATATCTAAGATTTTCTAATCAAATTCAAGCTCATAATTCTCCTGAATTTCTAGTGACATATTCAAAATATGTCTGATTAATCATTTTAGTTGCTGGATATATGCTGAATGCTACGAGTAGTATTGTTTTGATTGCTGGTTATTAGCAATTATAAATTGGAACTAAATCAATTGGGTTTTCGGTCAGTGTCACTGCTGAGATCAAGTCTATGTTTGAGGAGCTGAAGGCAAAGATTGAAAAAGAAAGGTAGAAGTGATTTTGTGGTTTAATATGCTTTGTGGCAAGAACATGGAGAATTATCAATGCTGATTTCACTGAATTGAGTGGAATAACTAATGTTTCACCTTTGAATTTTGTATTTTCAGGCAAACTTTTGCAAAAGCATTGACAAAGAGCTCAAAGGAGGTGATCAATACCGAGATACCAAATTCAATCCTCGGCCTTTCTGGTTTAATTAAGTTTGTTCTTCGATACACGAAGCTCAGCAAATATCTGATGAATGTATTGTTCGGTTTTTCAGTGTGAAAATGCACTGAAGGAGGAGACTGTCAATTTCCAAGGAGTTTATGAGAAATTCAGCAAAGAGAAAGCAACATATCTGCAATCACTGAAGGGTATAAATTCTTGTTAATCTACTACTTACTGTCCTATGCATCTTTGACAAGCTACAAAAAGGAGGCATATCTCAATTTGTTAGTAAAAGGTTCTAAGATGATGCTAGTAAATGAAATTGAGATTACTTGGCAGAACTTCAAGTTTGAATAGCTGCAAAAACGGCTAGACAGCCCTTTGCAACCCCCACTCCCTTGGGTGCATTACAGTCATTGTTTCTCGATTTTGGCTGTTGAGACTAGGAAGATTGCTGTATTCTCTTTTTGGCTCATTGCTCTTAAGCAGCTCTTCTGTTGAGCAATACAGCTATAAGCATAAAATTCCTCATACTGCTATTACGAATACGGATAATGGGGCAACATACGTAATTGTTGATGACAACCAAAACTATATCATCCTGGGCTCTTGTATATGCTACTATGATTTTTGTATCTAGCTCAGGGCCATGATTCCTGCAGAACTGAAAACAGATCAAGTGCTTTGTTTGATAAATATTAAATGGTTTTCTAGTGTGTACTTTCCTTCATGGTGATTGCCATTGTGATTTACTTAAATTGATATGGATTTGACAACCTTATAGGAGTATTTTTCTTCAACTAATGATGCTTGTATACTTCGTTCCTGACAGATACCATTTCCAAATATGAAGAAGAGAAGGAAAGGCTCTTCGTGCGATATGAACAACAAAGTGAGCTACAAGACACCCTTCTAATTTCATGATTGCAGTTCCTCACAAGAGAACACATCCCCATCTTGTTTGATTTCAGGGAAGAAAGAGAAGAGCATGATACAAGAAAAGGAAAAGGCGTGTGCTGACAAAATTGCTGAGTTGGAGGAGTCTTTGAAGAAGAAGAAACAGGTGGGTTTATATTTTCATCAGATACAAGTACCTTAATGTCTCTTTTAAGCGTTCCAATTGCTGGGAACATTCTTACAGATACATTGCTCCCTATTTTGGAACAGGACGACAAAACTTTCAGTCTTCTAAGGAAGACTCTGGGATCCTTTCTCGAGACTGGTTCAGATGACGAATTTCCACAAGATGAGTAAAAGAGTGTTATGGTTTTAGACCTGATCTTTCACTTACAATGGCAAAACTTTTGATTCTGCAATGTCTTTGTATAGGCGATTAGCTGTTTGCTTCCCTTCAAAGCAGTCTTGCAAAATGTGTAGTGACAGAATTCTCATGAAGTAGACATACATTATCTACCATTATAGAAATTTCTCCTAGATGTTAATATACATATATTAGAAGAAGCAAGTGGTGCTTGTGCTGTAAATTCCTGCGATTTGTTAGGAGACTCTGATCAGCTTAATAACAAATGTCAAAGCACAAGGAAATAGATTGTAGTGTCGGGTAAGGTCTATCATTGACCTTGCAATGTTATCGTATAGTCGAGTAGCCATTCATCTTCGATCAGGTGTGAGTCCTGGTTCCTGTTTTTGAATTTTAGTGAAGCAGAAAAATACATTGTCTGCTGCAACAGATATCTCTGCTATATATAGTTAACATACACACCTATGAAGATGAATGTGGTGCTTTTACTTTAAATTCATGCAGTTTGGTTATAAGACCTCTTAATTATCTTACCAATAAAACAATTGTCTAACCATAAGGAATTACACTGTAATCATGTAATGTACTCTGTTGAAGATAATATCTCAAGTTCCCATTCCATGACGGCTAAATTTTGTCTGAGCAAAATGACGCATGACTGCATTTGCAACATTAGCTACTTTAATGTGATGCATTTAGCATAGCCATGACATATAGCGACCAATTTTCATGAGTATGAACTGATTGAATTGGAATAACAATTACTAGTATAAAGATAGAGCTAGAAATGTTAGTCCTCAGTGAGAAACGCTGAAAGGCCGGCAAGCTTGGCTTTGTTGTACAGACAGAGGAGGACGCCTGTTATGGTCCTGTAGACACACATAAAAGAGAAAATCCTTTGTAAGTGAAATGTGATAATTCATGACTATAATTGTTGCGGTTAAAAGAACTCGTTAATTACAAAAGAAAGTACATACTCCTATGTATAGGACAGAATGGCAGGAGCAACACCGAACAGATTGAGCCCCAAAAGGGTACATCAGAAGCACTTGACAGTTTCCACACTTGACTTGTCCGACTTGATGCTCTACAAAAAGTATAGTAATTAATCAAGTTCACGTAAAAATTTAATAACCAAAGACTGAATCGAATTATATGCATGAGGCTGAGCAAGAAAGAACCTTCAAGTACATAGTTCACAGTCTGGCAGCATGAGCATTGGACATGCTTGGATCCAAGAGGATAAGAAAGGAGGCGGCGGCAGGAACCACAAACCATTTGACCCCTTTCTGCACAACAATGTTCGATTTCATACCTTTTAGAACAATTAGCTGAACACAAAAGTAAACGTAAAGGAACAAAATTAACATCATAGTTCACATTTTCTGAAACAATACATCATGATGGAAAATGTGGATTTTATATACTTCGTATGATGTAATTGTAAACTGGTTGCTGAAACTATCAATCTGAATTAGGTTTCCAGAATGCATTTTCCCTTGAGAGAAATTTTCAGATGGATATATAACCTAAGATCTTTGGATTGATAAGATTACATTTGCAAGACAAATCTATACAAAGCTACCATCAGATTATCCCATTCTGACAATGTTAATTCAAAATCCTGCCCATTAATCAGTTCATCTATTGATTTGGGAATACAGTTTATAGTTTATATTAGCGCAGATTTACCAATAAATAATTTTAATAAAGACATAAAGTATATTAGGTCAATAATTTCAGAGAATGAAATTAATACTAATGGGAAACTTTGTTTGATTTTATAAGAATAACAGGGATTAAAAAGTATAAATAGCGGGGATAGCTCAGTTGGGAGAGCGTCAGACTGAAGATCTGAAGGTCGCGTGTTCGATCCACGCTCACCGCATTTTTAATTTTTTCCCTAATCAAGTAAAATCTATGAAAAAGAAAACCCGGAAAAGAAAAGGAAAACGAACCGGGTAGAGAGGACGACGGAGGCAAGGGAGGAGGCGGCGGAAGCGCATCCCAACCTGGCGGCGGACCATCTTCATCTTCGTCTTCTTCAGTTTCATCTTCTTTCTCATTTTCTCTCTCCTCAATTTCAGTTTCTGGTTTGGTTGATTTATCATCCTCTTTCAACACTGCTTCATTTTCTCTCTCCTCTTTTACGTTTTCTGGTTCCGGTGATTTAACACCCTCATTTGCTTCTGTAATTTGTTCGTCTTTTGGTTGTTCTTCAGTTGATTTACCCTCATTTGCTTCGGTAATTTGTTCTTGTTTTGGTTGTTCTTCAGTTGATTTACCCTCATCTGCTTCGATGATTTGTTCTTGTTTCGGTGATTCTTTTTCGTCGTCTTCTGGTTGCTGTGGTTGTGGTGGTGGTGGATGCTCGTTTTGGTCGTCTTTTGGTTGTTGCGGTGGCGGTGATGGTGGTTGTGGAGAGGATCGATGGTGCTGCACTTGAGTTGTCATGGGAGTATCTTCTTCTTGATTCATGGTATAAACAACCGTAGAAAATTATGAAATTTTAATGTCTTAAATTAAATAAATGCTTGTATATTGATATTAACCTCGTAAAAAAAAAAAAAAAAAAAAAAAGTTTCCTACCCTAATTCATCTTGTATTAGCATTAGAGATTTAGAGGTGTCAATTCCGATGTCCAGTTCGAGTTCGGTGAAATCGGATCGGGTCTATTTTAAATTTGAGTTATGCTAAATTGTTGAGTCTATATGTGTCGCCATCTAAATAAGGTATTTTTCGAATCGGTTTATAACTCATGCATTTATTTGAAAGTTTGGAACTTATCAATGGTGATATTAAATAGAAGTTCATAATTCATAAAAATCATAATGTTAGAGTATGCCTTGTCTATTAATTTTTGTGTTGGCATGGAGGGACGAAGCTCAATTTGGATCTATTAGGTCTTGTATAATGTCGAATCTTAAAAGTATAGCCTAAAATTTATCTAAGTACTGAACTAGCAAGGAAAAATAAAAACAACCGAATTAATTTAGGGGTAAATTCATGTTTCTCATATTAATAAACAAGATAAGTATCTCAAAGGGATATTTGTGTCATTTTAAGTAAATAAGTGGGGTTAATGTTGTAAAGTGATCTTATTTTGGCCTTCTAATACCACCATGGGTTCTTCTTTCTCCATTCTCTCACCTCCATTAATGGAAATCTAAATCTTCATTGGAAAAATCGGAACGCATGAACAACCTCAATGAAGGAGTAAGACAAACCTTGCCCTTAAGGGTTAACCATGCCATAATTTCTCCAATTTTTTTTAGGGTTTTTCATTTGATTTGACAGCGAAGCCGTCGGAAAGGCTAAAGGAGGGTGAAGAAGATAGGGGGGCAACGAAGGTGATGGTGGTTTGCGAGCAAAACGATGATGAAAAAATGGCAATTCACACCAGTTCAATGGAGTACGGGGGTGAAACCATGAAGGAGGATGAAAATTGAGATGCAAAAAAGTCTAAAAAAAACTATAAAATGTTGAAAAAGTTGCTTATATTTACTAGTTTATCATTCTGAGATATAATTATGTTTCACAATATGAGAAACCGGGGCTCTAATATAGGTGATTACGAAAGACAAAGCATAACATCATATAAGCGCAAAAATAGAAAACGGAAAATTTCTAACCACTGTAATAGGAAACTTAACAAATCAAATTAGTTCCTCTTTTTACTGACTAGTACACCAATGAAAATCACAATATCAATTTTTACAACATGATTACTTGTTATAGTTAATCGCTAAAGAGCATAACAATAAGCTACTTGGAACTAAAAGGCAACGCTTACACTTGACAGAGCACACTCTATAATACCCTTGTGATATATTACGTAGAAGATGGATTAGCATCACAAGCTCAGGCGTATATTACAAAATTGGTGGATCAAGGATTCAGATCAACTAGTCCAAACAAAGATTAAAATTAATTGATCAACAGATATGAGATTGTGTAAGTTTATAATACAATACTATGCTTTAGAAAGAAAAGGATTGGATGTATAGGAATATGAGACATTTCAAACTGCTTTGATAAAGGAGGCCTATGATACAAGCACCTTCGCCTAAAACATCGAGAATATAGTTTCAAAAGACAAAGACTTGCGCCTTATGCTCCCTTCTTTCTCTGATCCTTGGCTATCTTGTTAACATCCTTGGTGAACATTCTTGGCGCTATAGCCATAGACATGAGCTCTTGGAAGAGCAGTTTGCATGCATATGGAATGTGAACCTGCATAAGCGGTAATCCATTTAGCATGAAGTGGGAGAGGAAGAAAAGGACAATACAGAAAAGAAAAAAAAAGGGGGGGAGGGGAAAGAGTGGAATGAAGAACCAACCTGAACAATGTCAGTCTTATTCTTGCAGCCTCTACATTCAAAAGAATTCTTTTTAAGATTTGCAATGGCAATGAGCCCACACTTTTCACATACATGAACCCTGTATGCATCACTTTGGTCAAAAAGCCTTTCTTTAAGGAAGTGGGCAGCACCATGGGCAATCATACAGTCTCGCTCCATCTCTCCAAATCGAAGACCACCATCACGAGATCGTCCCTCAGCAGGCTGCCTGGTGAGAATCTGTACAGGACCTCGGCCACGAGAATGAATCTTGTCATCAACCATATGCTTAAGTCTTTGGTAGTAAGTAGGTCCCAAGAATATCATCGCAGTTAGCTTTCGTCCTGTGTGACCATTATACATGGTCTCAAAACCACGCATCTGATACCCACATTTGTGGAGGGCCTTACTGATATTGTCCACCTGTTAAGCCAAGAGGGTAGAAGTCAGTCATCAATAAACACTGATATACCCTCTTAGTTTTGCATGAGATCGTGATAGAGTGCCTCTTTATAAATGTCGAATACTCCTTAAATAAACTTTCAGAGGTAGAACGGTAGATACTTTGTTCTTCATCAAGTTAATTGCTGATATTTTTTTTTTAAAACATAAAATGGAGAAAAAACATTCTAGCACAGCACTATAATGGTGGAAGAACACAAGACTTACAGTGACATCAGTGAACGGTGTAGCATCTCCTTCCTTTCCAACATGAGCTGCAACCTTACCCATGATACACTCAATAAGCTGGCCAATTGTCATACGTGATGGGATAGCATGAGGATTCACTATGATGTCAGGAGTGATGCCTTCCACAGTCCATGGCATATCCTCCTGAGTGTAAGTCATGCCAACTGTTCCCTTTTGACCATGCCTACTGCTAAACTTATCCCCAATCTGAGGAACACGCACGGATCTCACCCTCACTTTCACAAATCTCAAGCCATCGGCATTGGTTGTTAGTAAAACCTACAAACACAAAAGTTCTAAGAACCAAATACAAAGATAACATTTGGATTACAAAGGTAATCTACTACTCATAGATATAGAATTACCTGATCCACCATCCCTGTCTCACTATGACGTAAGCTAATACTATGATCACGTCGTGAATAACGTGCAGATGGCCCCTGAGCTTCTTCCGGGGCAAGTGGAGTAGTCTTTCCAATAATAACATCCTCACCTGCAACTCTAGTACCCTGCCCAGTAAGAAAAGTTCAGATACAAAGTTGCAAACTTGTTTGAACAAGACATCTCTTTCATGACAGTAGTTAATATACTCACAGGAGGTGCAAGCCCATCATCATCTAATTTGTCGTAAGATCCATGTCGCATACCCTACAAATTAATGCATTCAGTATCAAACCATAATAGCATAACAAAACCATGTAGATTCACTTCTTAGCACTTACCATAGTATTAGATCTGTCGGGACGCCCAAAGTCCTCCTTGACAAGGGTTCCCATCTTCTTCTCCTCATCCCTAAGCAAGACACAGGTACAATTGAGCAACTACTTCACAAGAATGCCTAGCTACCAAAACGACTTGGTTTTAAGAAACCTAACCAATTTACTCACCTGTAAGATCGGAAAAATAGGGATCGGAAGAATCCACGATCAATTGCAGATTGGTTCATAATGACGGAATCTTCTTGGTTATAGCCAGAATAACAAGCGATGGCAACAATAGCATTCTAATAAAAAGAGTAACAAGCAAACGTCAACAATACTTACAGCAGTGAAAGATGTTAATCATAGATCTGCAGTAAGAGAAACTTACAATGCCAGCAGGAAGCTGTCTGAAGTGCAAGTGCTCCATAGCACGTGTTGTAACAAGAGGCTTCTGAGGATAGTAGAGGACATAGGCCAATGTATCCTAAAGAAGGCGGAAAAAATATGCAAAATGAAGTTATCAGATTTGGCAAACAGCACGAAGAATGATGTAATGATATAACCACAACATAAGGGATACACTGATACCATTCTGAACTGATAATTCGTGACGTAGATTCCCATGGCTTGCTTCCCCATAGCTGATTGATACGTATTACGTGGGGACTAGAAGAAACAAAAACATTAGCAACTGAAGCACAATAAGCTGGTCACAATTTAAACACTTAGAAATCCCAGATTACCTGATTGTGATCAGGAAATGGAATAATAGAGGCACAGACACCCAATATCAAAGATGGGTGAATTTCACAGTGAGTGTAGGTCTCAGAGTATGCCTCCTCTGGATTAAGCCGTGCTGTCACAAGATCCTGCAACAAAGATGTTTAGTATCGTCAAATTAGGAAACATGAAAGCTTTAAATTTCAGCACTCAACCACTGACTTACAAAGCCTCCTTACAACAAAGAAATACAAAAAGAGAGGTGAGCCGCATTAAGATTTCTATGCTTACATTGATAGTCATGGAAATCATAGTGGTCTCTTCTTCTTCCGTGTCAATGTACTCAATATATCCCTTTGCAACGAGGTCATGCCAACCACCATCTTCAGGTGACTCCTGAAAAAAGGCCAATTATTTTTAAAATGCACAAATCCACATGGTTAAAATGAACAGGACAAGAAATCAGGTAAATGAATAATGCAGCATACCCTCTGTTGTAATGCCCGGATATCCTTTTTCTTAATAAGAAGACTTTGTTTCTCAACAATAAACAGCGGGCGACTGCAACGACCATAATCTGTGTATATACGCAATTCTTTCAACCGGATATCTCGAACAACACCAACTTCAGTATTGACATCAACCTGAATATAGTAAATATAAATGAGGCAGTGATAACAATCAATCACATGCATTTAATCAATTTTGATATCAGGAAAACAAAATAAAGATCAATAACCAGATCAATATTCTTCACAATTCAAAAATATTATTGAAACAGCAATTTCAGAATGTAAGGAATACACTAAACTGAGTGCAACTTTACTCTGCTATCAGTCAGATAAACTTAGCCGTGGAAGTTATAAAATGAGCATGATCATGCATAAAGTTCTATCTCATAAGCCAAAGCAAGATATTCAAACAAACAAACAAACAAAAAAACAATCAGACAGGAATTAGATTACAGAATGCATCAAAAACATCCACCACCTCTGTAATTTCCTGTATAGTAATACCATCTAATCTTAAGGTAGAAACATACCCTTCTCCTTAGTTGCCTCAATGTCTTGACAAGTAACTCAGGATCTCGATGGATTCCTACCCAACAACCATTCACAAAAATCTTTGTAGCTTGGGGGATCACAGCCGGCGAAATTTCCTCAAAATTTTCCGTACTCCATTCCTCTAAAAATTCCAATATAGGATATGCTGCAGAACCAACAGTTATATACACCATTAGAGCAAGATTCTTCACTAATCCACAAGCTTGTCCTTCAGGTGTTTCAGCAGGACACATCATTCCCCACTGTGAATTATGCAGCTGCCTAGGCTTAGCTAACTTCCCTTCACGTCCAATGGGAGAATTTAACCTACGTAAGTGTGACAAGGTGGAGGCATATGTAAGGCGATTCAGCACCTGAGAAACTCCAGCTCTGGTTCCAGCAGCATTAGCCTGCCCCCAATTTCCAGTGGCAAGAGAGTACTTGAGCCCACTAG